ATATATATATATATATATATATATATATATTAGGGTGGGAGGAGTCCAGCTTCAACCTCACTCATATCCTAACAATTGTGAGTAAGATTTCTGGGATGGGGACAAGGTTACATTCTCCTCCCCATTCCTAGAAATTCTGAGGATGGTCTTAACCTCTCCCTACTCTTGTGATGTTGAATAGGATCACTGGGGTGGAGATGAGGTTAAAGCAGCTCTTCCATGAATTGATCTTCAGGAAGGTCACTGGGAGAGGGTTACATTTTAAATTCACCTCACTTCTGTTAATAACAAGGAAATCACAGTCTCAGTGCAGAAAACAGCATATCCTGTGTGCTTCACTGGCAATCAGGATTACACATCCACCAACCCATTAAATCATTATTTAGGATCAATTTGAAACTGAAATCTGGACATCTCAGAGTCTTTCAATAACAGCTTGGAATCACCCATGGTATCCTTCTGAGTCACTTCTCTGGGATGGGGTTTGGAGGCACTGTTCTTCAGTGGCTCCATACTTTGCAGGAGGGGTATTCTCAGAAGGTGGTGCTGGGAGATTCCTGTTCAACTCCTTGGCCATTGGCCTGTGGAGTCCCTCGGGGTTCAGTGTTGCCCCTTATGCTATTTAATATAAACATGAAACTGCTGGGAGAGGTAGTCTGGAGTTTTGGAGTAAGGTGTCATCAGTATGCTAATGATACCCAGCTCTATCACTACTTTCCACCTAATTCCAAGGAAGCTGGTCCCTTCCTAAATTTGTTTCTGGCAGCTGTAATTGACTGGATGAGAGCAAACAAATTGAAGCTTAATCCAGACAAGATAGAGGTGCTCCTGGTCAGTGAAACGGCAGGTATGGGAATAGGGATTGAGCATGTGTTAGATGGGGTTACATTCCCCCTGAAAACCATTTCTCAGTCTGGGGTACTTCTGGATTCAGCGCTGAGCTTGGAGACCCAAGTATCAGCAGTGACCAGGATTGCATTTGTCCCCATTCCTGGAGAAGTCAGATCTGACCACAGTGGTACAAGTCTTGTTTACATCTCATTTGGATTACTGTAATGTGTTCTATGTGGGACTGCCTTTGAAAAGTGCTCAGAAACTTCAGTTGGCCCAAAAAGCTGAAGCCAGCTTATTAACTGGAGCTGGTTACAGGGAGCACACAACTCCCTTTTCAACAGCTCCATTGCTGCTGGTCTGTTTCTGGGCAAAATTCAAAGTGCTGATTCTGACCTATAAGGCCCTAAATATCTTGGGTCCAGGCTATTTGAATGACTATGGGCCTTTGCAGACTGCTAGAAATAGTGAAAATTGAGTCCACTTTTAGGGTTAGGGTTCAGATTAGGGAATCATGGGAACTGTATTTTATTGTGGCACCAGAGCTCTCTGACAGTGAAGGCTCAATGTCTCAGAAAAAAAAAAAACAATTGCCATGATTCCTAAGCACTAACCCTAACCCTTAAAGTGGACTCAATTTGCACTATTTCTGGCAGTCTACAAAGGCTCTATATCTCCTTTTATGAACCTACTAGAACACTGTGATTATTCTCATCTCTGTCCCACCACCTTCCCAGGCTCATTTGATGGGAACAAGAGAGAGAGACTTCTCAGTGGCTGCTTTCAAGCTCTGGAATCCCTCTTTAGAGAGGCCAGGCTCGCTCCATCCTGCTTTCTTTCTGGAAGCAGATTAAAATCATTTTTATGCCACCAGGCTTTTACACACTGATATGGGTGCTGTATATGGTTATATAAGAGGTTTTTTTTAAAAAAGAGTTTTAAATTTTAAATTTTTATAATCTAATGTTTTCGATCATTTGAAATTATTTTAAAGTTTTAAACTTTGCATTTTTAATGTTTCATACTGTTTTAACTTAGACTGTTTTAAATTTTGTTAGCTGCCTTGAGTCCATAAACCAGGAGGAAGGCAGGATATAAATAAATAAAATAATGAATAATGAAAAATAAATCACTTAATAACCTGAAAATGAAATCACTTAATTTATTAATCACCTATTTCATAATCTGTTATAGACAAATTACATAGTAGAGAGTGTGGCCTAGTGGTTTGAGTGTTAGACTGTGACTTTGGAGATTAGGGTTTGATCCCCCATTCAGCCATGAAAATCATTGGGTGACTTTGGGCAAGTCACTTGTTCTCAGCCTCAGGGCAAGGCAAACTTTTTCTGAACATATCTTGCCAAGGAAACCCCATGATGGAGTTGTCTTAGGGTCACCATAAGTCAAAAATGACTAGAAGGCGAAATGTTACCCAAAGTCCCCTTCATATACAAAATATTAAAAACCCCATATGCTATTCTTGGATCCCTGGCTAGCAA